AAGCTCAAAACATTTATCGCATCCCTGCTATAAAACAAACAAGAAGCTTTGAGGGAAGCCAATATCTGAAAATATATAGACACAAAGACACGTATTCTATATCTAGAGTCTACTTCAAAAGGGAGAGAAAGAAATGTGTTTTCACTTATTTTGCTACTGTATAATTATTCTACAAAACAAGCCGGTCCTCAACATTTTCTTTCCACGAAGCCTACATGAAAGATCTAACTAGGCCACACCACCAGCTGGATAAACCAGTACAGAACGTCTACATTGTGTTATGCACAAACTTTAAAGGGACAATTGCAGGTACTTCAGCACCCTTTCCTTGTTTCTTCATAATACCTCCTGATATTTGTCAATTTTCTAAGACCTACTATTTTGCTAACGCATTTCAGAGTTTCAGCATAAGCTATAATGCAAGATGCAGATTTTTTCTGAATATTTGAAGATCAACAAATATTTACCTTCTGCAAGCATGTCTGGCACATCTGCTTGGTATCTAGGCCCCACTCTGATTTCTCCCTTGTCTGCTAAAAGCGTTTTCAGTGACGGATCATATACCAATGAATAGAAAAAAGTATCCTAAAAAAGACGACAAATTTGCAACAGCATGATGAATTTTTAAATTACTTTTGTAAATCTACATCATCTTCCATTTGAAAAATTACTAAAGCAATCCCCCTTCACACACTTCTCATGTCTTTTTTCTTGAGGGTACAGGTCAGGTAGAAGAATAAAAATTGTGAAACATTAGTCCTTATTTTAAGTAACGTAGATGTTTTATGAGTACTTCTAAAAAGCTAACAGAAGCTTCCTGCATTGCTCAGAAGCTATTTCAGAACAGCATAATGAAGAAGAGATCCATACACAACACGTATCAATGAATCCAAAAAGCAGTAATGGCGACTACTTTCTGAATTTAACGTTTCCTTTCCTAAATATCCCTACCATGCTTTTATAAATTAGTCTCAAACAGCATAAAAAACTGTCAGTGTCTGAGAAAGGCTTGCACAACAGCATCAATATACCTGGCAATGTCAGCAGAAGTGGAAGTTAAGTGCTTTAAGAGACATTTCATAGATTGCCTGTGGTTTTAGTGTATAAATGTCAAAATAAAGACATGCTAACTTCAGCTAAAACACGCTATCTGCCTGAAGTCACGTTTTTCCTGGGAGTTTCTTAATATATTTATTTTTAAAGGTGTTTCACAATGCAAAAGTAGTTTAAGGACCTATGTATCAGCTTTCTGGGGCCCTTTTATTTGGTTCTTCCCTCTAGTGAGGCTAAACTCCCTTTCTTTCCACAGGAAATAAATGATACAGACTTTCCACACAATTCAGAGCCCCTAAAATTAAACTCCTGTGCTCAGTTGCCCTCTAGAGGAGTGTTGCACTCTCTCTTTCTGTCCACTGACTAGGGAAGGTTCTTCTTTCCAGAATACCGCTCAGTAAAAAACAGGCTTTGTGAATTCCCCCTAAAGTATCTACGAGGTGAAAACAGTTCACATATTTTTCTTTTGTATTAAGATACCATATGAATTATTTCGTAGAATTAGTTATTTTCTACATATAGTAACATGCCCAATAGAACTATAACACAAGACAGGGTCATTTAATCCAGTTGTGATTCCGTAACATTTAAAATCAGTGTTTTCAACAACTTCTAACATAATATTTGAAAAAAAAAAGCAAATCAATGCATTATTCTCTCATTTATAAAAACACTGCTGTAACAATCATAAATCCATCCCAACATTTAAACAAAAAATTGCACATATTACCTCTTTCTCCAGATACGACAACACAGATTCCGTCTCGTTCAGAAGTGCAACACTGCATTTTCCCCTATGCAGACATAAGAAAGAACTGTTACCTTTGTAAAACTGAACTTTTTCTGAAGTCAAAAAAAGCTATTTACCACAACATAATCCAGATTACTTTAAACTTTTGTATTGAAAACACAGTAAAATGCATTTCACCATGTTTTAAGACAAAAATTGACAACAAAGCAACAAAATGAATAGCTATACTGACCTAGGCACTCAAAAAATACATATACATTCTATAGCACTGGAAAACAAAGTTTGAGAGATAAAACAGAAGCAGTAAAAGAGCAAGAGGTATCATGGCAAGTGACATGTATTTGTATTTCACTGTATCAATAAAATTAATAAAAAAAAGAGGATTTAAATGACAGGCAGGATATTACATCACGTGCAAAAGCAGAAAGGTAAATAAACATCTGAGGAAAGCCTGAATACAACATTCAGCGTCGATTCTATTTTCTGTGGAACTCTGAAGTCATGATTTTCAATGGAGTTGGTTAAACCCAACACAGGATATATCTTCCTGAACTTTATGACAAGTTATCAAATTCTAAGCACCCTGTTGCTGTCATGAATCTAATTATGATCCGATTACTCAATATTGAGGTGACCTTAGTTTGAGGGTTTTGTTTTACTTTTGGTATGTGAAGCGTTTTAGAGCACAAAAGACAGGTTACATAATTGACAGGCAGGCAATTAACACTGACAAGCTACAAAAATTTCAATACTTACACTACAGTCCATAAACAAATTTCATTGATGCACAGATAACAGGGCACAAAAACCACTGAATTATTTTCCTTATGACTACAACTGCAGGCACTACACAAGTCACTGTGGTTTGACGATACTACAGAAGACTAGTTAAATCACTTACCACGTTTTAAAAATAGCTGATTTTTAAATACAAAGTACTCCAGCTTTTAAAACACTCCTGATTTTTCAAACACAAGATTGCATATAAATTAACAAATGAAAGCTTTTATCAGATCAGCTGTATCAGCTCATCTGTTTAAGCACCAATAGCACTGACACTCCTAACACAGATGCATTTAGTTAGATATATGCAATAAGCTTACATTATGATTACTGAGACTGTTACAAGAACTAACGATAAGCCACTTCTCCAGTATTTACATATACAATCTTTCCAAGGTCAAACGCATGGGTAAATGAAACATTACCTCCTAGATTAAAAAACAGAAACAAACCTAAAACCTCAAACAGAACTTTTTGTTCATCTGACGTAACAGAATTACTAGCAAGGAAATGGTATCACTTTTTCACTTCTTCCCTGTTTTCTGCTTTTTATAAAAATCCATTTTAGACCATATTTTAAAGTAGCAGATTCAAAAAATATGTATCAATGGCATTACCTGCCCAGGGAAAGTGACATTTCTCAAAAAAGGAGCCAAAAATGGCATCCTGAGGCTTCAAAGGAAGCTCTTGAGACTCAAAAGGCAAGAGTTATTGCAGGGTTCTGGAACCGGTGGGAACATTAGGGGGGAAAATTCACAGCACAAGTTCTACTAAGAGGTCATTCAAACATAGCTTCTCTTAAGGCAGTACAAAACATTACCTCAAATCAGATACTGAGTAATTTGAATCATCCTCACCACTGTCCCACCAAAAAACGTAACTTTCCTTTGCTCCATTCTCTGCTCCTGATTCTCTACGTCTTCCCCGCCTCTTCTCATTTCCCAAATTTACTGCTATTTTAATAGAATCAAAGGAATTTCAGAAAATCTAAAGATCCTGTTCAAGAAAGCATCCAAAAGTTTGGAATTGTATGTGAACTCTTAAGAGTCAATGTTTTTACCCTTTCATAAAATTTCTACTTTTGTACCTCAACATCCCACAAAAAAATTGCAAGAGAACTTTAACATTATCCATATGGAACGTCTTTTGGACTGTCAACCTAGGGGAGAAGGAGACTTGAGTGTGTCACTGCTGACTTACTAATACAGCTAATATACATCCTATAGAACTAATACATTCCAAACACTACAATTCTATAACTAATATATATGCACAAATGCATACATGATCTCCTTTTTGCCACTCTAGCTCATGCTGAAACTAATAGCACTACGAATATAAGCAACAAAGATCTAAGGTCATGCTCTGTTGAAATACAATTTTCATCCTTAGTGCATTCTCTTGTGCACTTATGCCTCTCTTCTACATTCAGCCTGTTTCTGACATTGTATTACCTGCTCTGAATCCACATCTTCTTATAATCTGTCAATTAACTAAAGGAGCATCCCACTTCATTGTAACTTTTGAACCATAGCTGGAAAGCTCTATGAAATAAAACTACACAGCAGTGAATTTCAGTATTTGCTTTTCTTATTCATTAAATTACTTCTGAAATGCATGTTCTGACACCTACCCCCAGTACTTCAGAAGAAGGCAGCTAACTTGATAGAGAGCACCCAGCATTAGTGTTCCCATAAGACAGTAAAAACCTTAGTGGTAAGTCTGACAAAACGCATGCGAAAAGAAACAAAAACAATCACGGAGAAAACTAAGTTAACAAAACTTTCCAACATATTTTACACTAATAACATGCTAACATTTAGCAATGAATGATAGTACAGTACAGTAAAACTCAGTTACAGTCACAGACGCAGCATCCATTGCTGGCTAATATGAGAATAAATAAAGTTTAAGTCCAGACAATGGTATGGATTCCTTTTAAATCCAAAAACAACATTAAAAAAGTTAAACAGAGATACAGAAAGAAAGATGGCATTATTAATTTATCTTAGAGAATCCAAATGGCAAATAATGTTGCAAGAGAAACAGCTATTAATAATGAGAAACAAATCAAATCGAGACATTCAGTAATCAACTTCACAATAAATATTTCAGCTTTGTTAAAAAGTAACAGGCCAAATGCGATCGCTGACAGAGCAAATCTACTTCCATTGGTTTATACCACTGCCCTACAACAAGTGCTAAGTACACAGGAAACTGCTCACCCACTACCAACAAAAATGGAAGACTGTCTAGGACAGACTTCTGGGATGGCTGTGCAAAGTCTTGGGGTGCTCAGCCTTGAGCTCCAAACCCAGATTAGCTGGCCCTCAGGTACATCTTCCTGAAGGGGGTACAAGGCAGAAACTGTTGCAGGGAGCAAGCCGATGCCAAAGAACAAGATAGCAGTTAAGGACTGAACATAAATTAAAACACGAATTCAAGGAAGGACTTCTAAAAACAGTCAGCTGAGAAGTTTGTACAGAGTTGCAGAACACCCAGTGTTTATGTGTAAAACAAACTACCACACCTGAAAGACAATGCCCAACCAAGTAAAGACATGTTTCTGTTACAGATGAGGCTGAAGTTTTTAATGTTCATTTTTGGCCACTGTATAATTTTTGTTGGTGCCGGGTTTTTTTAGGGTGTGGATTTTCTTTTAATTAAGATATTCATTGTATGAGCATTGGAAAGGAACTTCCCTGAGTTATTGATCCCACCTAATCCCCGCTAGTATTACTGAAGCAGGCTGGTTGTCCCCACTGCAAGTCCTGCTAGTACGGCAAGGCTATTTGCCTTTATACTACTAGGTTAAGTAAGCCTAGCTTTTCAAGTCACTATCTCATAGAATAGCCTCCTTGTTCCTTTATATTACCTTACAAGTCCAATTTTCATCAGTCAGTCTCTAGTTAGAAAAGAGATGACCAAAACTAAAAATAACATGAGCTTTTAAACATTGCAC